TCATTCGCAAGTAATTTTAAATTAATAATAAATTAGTTCTTTAGCAATATCTATTTTTAGTACTTGTAAGCCAGACATAACTGCTTGATATGATTTACCAATAGATGCTTCGATAAACATGATAATACCGATTTTTTTGATAAACTAATCTTGAGTAGTACATATATGGTACAACTTATTTATTATCCTTTAGTACATTTAGATTCTGTGAGTGAATTTATATTTATAAATAATTATCAGTTGCATAAGTGACTAAAATTTAGTGTATTAAGATCTGCTGGAATAAACATTTGCAAAGCAAATCAGCAGTGCAAAGAAATCTCAAGTTTATAATTTGTACTTATTTTATGGCTAAATGGTGCTATTTATCAATATCTAAAATTAACCCTTTCCTATAAACAAATAATAAATAAATGATAAATAAATGATAAATAAATAAGTTATTTTATAATCATTGTATTATAGTAAGCTATGCTTCGCTTCATATTAATATTGATTCAAACAACTATGTGGTATTTCTAGCTGCTTCATAATTTGTTAACATTAACTAATTATCTAGATTAATGATAAAGCCATCGCAAATTAGTTATTCGATTATTTTCTTTGTATATTAATTTACGAAAGTAAAATTTTTTGCACAAACCTTATTTTGTTTATAGTTCAGACTATAATCAAAGATTATCATAAGTCTGGGTATAGCTACTATTCATGGTATTAAAAGCGCAATCTTTTAAAGTTTTGTTTTAAATCACTTTTTGCAAAAGAAAGAAATAATATCAAAGTTTTATTTAATTTTTATTATTAGTTCTAATTTCAATTATCAATATATATACTCTTGCCGCACCTACTCCTCAATACTAGATTGATTATGACAAACGTCAATATAGTCTTGTGGAGAAACGTCAGTAGTATTTTGACAAACGTCAACATGGTCTTGTGGAGAAATGTCAATGAGATATTTATAGATAAGCGTTAAGATAATTAATGCTATCTCCTATGCAAACACCAGGAGTATAATATTTTTCTAAACCTAACATAACAAATTATCTTTTAATAACACTTATAATACTTTATGATTAGCCGTTGTATTATTTTTGAACATTCCAGACATCTTGTAATACATATTAAAGCTAGTATCTGTGCTGTTTAATTTTGTCCCTTCATTTTATACTAAATATAAGAAAAGGCCAGTTTAACAGATACTGCATTGTTAGTACCTCACTTTAATTAAAAAAACACTTTAGTAGCAGAAAAACAAAAAACAAAAGTACAAGCTGGCTCAGAACAAAATTACTTATCTAAGTGCAAGCAAAATTCAGAGGATATATGATGTCTAAGTTAAAACATTGCGATGATAGGCTGCTTCTGGAAAAGTGGCAATCGTTAAAACGCCCGGAAGAAAACAACTTTATTCAATTGTCGCATAGTTTACAAAGAGCCCTTGCACCTAGTAATGGGAATGCAGATTGACAATGAAATATGTAATAAGTCAAAAGGTGTAAAGATGAAACAGATATATATGATTGATCAAAGTATAGAGTGGGATTAGTAGAATCAGGTACGATAGGTACCGTGATTGCTGATTTGATATTAATGACGAGAAATTAAAAGTTTATTTTATTAACAATGAAGAGATAGTTAAAAAGATACACAAAGTATGTAATAGAGCATTTTGTATAAATAGCGAATGTAAATAAAAAAAATCAGTTAGTCTCTTGACTAGAAATAAAGTAAACGTCTAATTACAAGCAAAACTTACATGAAAGTTGGTGTGTTTTGAGTGCAAAGGCGTGTGTGTGTCTTGTGTCAAGCAAGACAAGTAGTATTAATAAAGCTATCTGGGCAAGATAACAGTTACTACAGTGATTGCCTAACTACGTGACATCAATTACAGATATACACAAAGCCTTTGAAAATGACCAAAGGTTGTCAGAATCTATGCAAAAGGCCAAGGTCTGTTATGCAAGAGTCAGTTTAGAGCATCAGCAAGGTAATCTTGAATGACAGATCACAGATCTCCAACATAATTACCTGGGATACGAAATCATTAGTGACATCGGTTCAGAACTTAATTGGAAATGCAGGGGGTTTCTTACTCTTTTGGAACGAATACACTCTGGAGGAGTTGAAAAAGTGGTGGTTGCCTGAAAAGACTGTTTGTATCACTTTGGATCTGAATTTGTGAAGTAAATCTTTGAAAAAAATAGGACATGGCTTATGGTATTTGGTTCAGATATTTGTGCCAATGATAATGAAACTAGAGAACTTGCAGAAGACTTACTTTCAATCGTCACAATATTTGTGGCGTGATATAATGGATTATGCTCTGCTGCCAATTGCAAAAGAAGAAAAGATACTGTCTAAATGATTTAAAAGTTTCAAGAAGGAAGTAATGAAACTTCTAGCAAGCAAGGTATGACACATTCGCCTTTTTCCTACTTAGGAGGAATGATTGAAACTCAGAAAATAGATAGGAACAGTTTGATGGACATACAATTGATGCCTTATTGCAGTTGAAAAAAAAGGCGTCAAATGAAAAAAGTAGGACTTATGGGCTCAATGTCTTAACGCTTTAAACTTTTAGAATAAAACAGAACTTGAGTAGATTTAAAAATACCTTATAATATACGAGATAAAGCAATGAATAACTTACTTAAAGGATATGCGTCTAATTTTGTTGCGAATCATAAAAACTTTAAAATGAAGTTTCATTCTAAAAAAGATTCACAACAATCAATTGCAATACTTTCTAAACATTGGGGTAAATCTCGTGGTGAATTCTCATTTCTTTATAAAATAAACTCAGCAGAATCTCTTCCAAAACAACTTGAATATGATAGTTGCCTTGTTATAAATCGTCTTGGTAAATTTTACCTTTGTATATCTGAGCCACTTAAAATACGGGCTGAGAACCAAGGTCCTTTATTTTCAGAAAATCAAGAAAAGGTTTGAATTAACTTTTTTATTTTTTTTAAATTATTTATTTATATTAACTACTATTAAAAAAGTGTGGATCGGGAGTGATTGCACTAGATCCAGGTGTACGTACTTTTATGACTGGTTATGATTCAAGTAGAATGGCTATTGAATAGGGAAAAAATGATATTAGTCAGATTTATCGACTTTGTCATATAGATGACAGACTTCAAAGTAAACGAGATAAGATTCATGGAAAAGGAAACAAACGTAAACGTTATAGGTTAGTTTTTAATAATAGATTTATAGATTTATATTATTTACAATTTGACTGATTATATTAATTATAGACTACAGCATGTTATGTTGCGTATTCACAAGAGGATCCACTGTCTAGTTCATGAATATCATTGTAAATTGACTAAATGGCTTTGTAAAAATTATCGTATAATAATATTACCAGAATTTCGTAATTAAAGAATGATCAAACGTGGGCAACGACGTATTGGTTCTAAGACAGCTCGAGCTATGTGTACGTAGTCACATTTTCGTTTTCAGCAACATCTGGCCCATGATGTCGAATAATTATTTGTACAGAAGAATATACAAGTAAAACTTGTAGATTCTGTGGTTACATCTACCGCAAGCTAGGTAGATTTAAAGTATTTTGTTGTTCTAAATGTAAAACAGAACTCGATAGGGATATTAATGGTGCTTGTAATATTCTTCTTCACTACCTTACTAAAAAAAATGAGTCAGCTTAAGTTGATATGGGAGCCTACTCCCTTACAGGATTTGTATTACCTAATTCAGACTTTATTTAGTAATATATTCTAATGTAGGCGTCAAATGAGAAAAGGTGGAGAAACAATATTTAAATATATAGTTAACTATAGTTATTTACCAATCAACAAAATGAAACCTAAATGATCACACATACCAATAGCAGCGTATAACCAGTGTTATTCACAAAAATAAAAAATACAATTTTCAAATTTCGTATTCTATAAGATTTATTAATATTTTTGTTAATGAACACATATAGAAAATTAGTTTTTTAAATATTCGTTATAGACTACAACTTTAATTAAAAAAAGACTCTTGACTATTTTATTTGCAAAATATATCTATATTTGCCCTATTATATTAACCAGAATTATGGAATGTTGGTTCATAATTCTTAAGTATCATAATAAAAAAAATGGCAATGCTATTATTATATCATTAAAAATTGACAACTTTCTTAATTTTAACAAAGAAGCAATTAACAACATGTAAATTTTGAATACCAAATCACTAAATTTAAACTTTCAATTCATCTACATTTGTGATTTTCAATTGTTCATTAATGTAATTAATATTATTAATTGTGAAAAATCAAAATCTGTGTTAAATTGAAATCATTATCATGATTAATTTTGAGGCAATATTCAAAAGAAAACTTAGATATTAAGCTTTTTTTTGACTATTAAATAATCAAGATAACTTCAAAATTTATTGAGATATAATCTATGAAAGCCAGTTTCTTGGTTAATTGGTATGATTTAATAAAACCATTATTTAATAATAAATTATTATAAAGTTTTTAATTTATAAATCAGTTTATACTTACTATCTAATGGTTAAAAAATCATGTAATTAGATAATACCATTTAATCACAGAAAGTTAACTTAAAAAATAGTAACCACAATTGTATTTACGGAGATCAACTAAGTTTTAAATAAAGTTGGTATACAACATTATTAGAAATATTGTAAATATATTGTAAAGATTATAAATCTAACATATTAAACTCGATACCCTTTTCCTAATGATTTATGGAATTTGATAATTTTGATTAATTTTAAGAAAATATCTAAGGATGAATTATTGATGTAAAAACTAGTTAACAGTTACTTTTCCAATCAGGTGGAAATCCTACATTAGTTTATAGATTTCATCGAAGACGTCAGCAAATACATTAAGGAAAATTGCAAAATGATAGTTATAATGGTATATTAGTTTAAAATGGAGATTGATTTTATATTTAAAAAAATGTTTACTTTTTTTCCAATCAGGTGGAAGTTCTACATTAGTTTATAGGTTTCATCGAAGATGTTAGAAAATACATTAAGAGAAATTGTAAAATGATGGTTATAATGATTTATAGAATTTGCAAAATTTAGATTAATTTTAAGAAAATATCTAAGGATGAATTATTGATTTAAAAACTAGTTAACAGTTACTTTTTCAATCAGGTAAAAATCCTACGTTAGTTTATATGTTTCATCGAAGATGTTAGAAAATACATTAAGGAAAATTGTAAAATGATGGTTATAATGGTAATATTAGTTTAAAATAGAGATTGATTTTATATTTAAAAAATATATACTTTTTTTCCAATCAGGTAGAAATTCTACATTAGTTTATATGTTTCATTAAAGACGTTAGAAAATATATTAAGAGAAATTGTAAAATGATGGTTATCCCTTAAACCGTCTAGCGGGCAAATTTGCTTGCTAAAATTTTTTTTTTTTTGATTTTGTGAGATTGCGTCTGATTTTCTTAAACAACACCCCCCTATTCTAGGCAAAAAATAGAAGATCATCATGTTATATATTGACCCGTGATTTAATATCAGGTGATCAGAAGTAACGATAAATGCTCAAATCATGTGCAAGTAGTACAATGGTAAACTTTAAAAAAATAATGATCATTATCAAACTCTAGAATAATTTTTTTTTTACAACATGCTTAATGCTAGTACAAGTTTGGCATCTTCCCTTGAAAATACAGAAATAAATAGTAATGACAAGGAAGAATATATGCTACTTCTGACGTCTTGCCGCAATTTTTTGAACCCAGAATCAGACAATGAGAACGAAAAAGAGGAAGAGAATATTAAAGGTGTTTGTAAGAGAGGTTGCAAACAAAAAAAAATTGCCACTACCACCTACAAATTTTGAGCCACTAGCTCATCAAAAGCAACAGCACCATGGGTTCGTTAATTTGCCTCCATACCATGAAGTCAGTTTTTTAAAACTGATCAATTTTTTTTTTCAATTTTTTTTGAACAATTTGTTGGATCAAATAGTTATTAATACGAACTCGTATGCGTTAATTAAAGAAGCCAGTATTCTTACTGGCAGGAAATGGATGAATATTAACTGTAAGGAGCTCATTGTTTGGATGGCAATTGTCATTTATCAGTGTGTTTTTAAGCTGCCCTCCCTTAATCAATATTGGAACGAAAACCTGAAGCTCCCCTTCTACCATATTTCGAAACAAATGTTGCTGAAGCGTTTCGAACAAATCAAGAGATATTTGCATATCTCCCCTTCTGCAGTAGTGATTAAAATTTATTTCAAAAAATTAGAACCACTGCTCTCACACATTCGAAATGTTTCAAAGCAGCTCTACATACCAGGTTCAAATGTCTTGGTTGACGAGATGATGGTAAGATTTTTGGAAAGAAGCACCCACACTATTAGAATCAAGAACAAACCAACTTCAGAGGGTTACAAGATTTTGTCGCTTTGTGAATCTAGATATACGTATACTTTCTTGCTAACTTTGCGTATTTCCCCAAGTGATGTGGCAAAAGTGAGAAAGCTCAGTCAAATTGGATATCAGGTTTATCATTTCGTCATACAGCTACCATATCTTCGATATCTATACAATATCTACATGGATAACTACTTTTCTAATATTTCTCTTTTCCTGAATCTTCGGCAAATTGGTGTTGGCGCTTGTAGTATAGTCCAAAAAATGGCTTTCGGGTTCCCAAAAGAATTGAAGATAGAAAAAAACACCTGGTTTGATTGAGACATATATTCCGGTATCATAGTGAGTGGGGTGTTAGCTGTGTTTTGGCAGGACAATGGTCCAATCACAATGCTGTCAACAATTAATAGACTTATTGGTGACGAATGGGAAATAGAACAGAACGACAGCGGCTAAGGGAAACCAGCACTAATGCAACAAAAATACGTGTGGTTTTTGGCTCTTAATCAAAGAAAGTGCTAAAGATCTCTAAGGTAATAGATGATTACAACCATTGTATGAATGGTGTAGACATTGCAGACCAACTGCGGTCGTATTATAATACA